TGCAATGTCTGTCCCAGACCCCTTTCTGGTTTAAGTTAAACTGGAGTCCCACAGCATCCCAGATGCTTTGCAACCCAGGGTGGGGCTCTGCTCTCTGTTCCAGCCCAGCAGAGCTGGCCCCGCCTCTCCGCTCCATAGCTGGAGCTCTGGCAGAGACTGCACATACAGCGGGATCTGTTTGGACTCCTTCTGCTCCCCTGCTCCCTCTCACCACTCCCTGCTCAAGCAGGGGTTCCCCCCTCCCCTCTGCCTTACACAGTCACCTCTCAGCATTAGATAGCATACCATATACTGGCTGCAGGTCTGTGTTGTGGGAGACAGGACAAAGGTACAAAGTACAGTGTCCGATTAGGGCTTTTTGGAGCTAATCAACAGGCAGCTGGTAATGTCCCTCCCTTCCTTCCTTGGAAAAAGTTGTTTAAGAAAAGCTTGAGCTAATGAGAGAAGCTGTTTTATTTTGTTTGATGGGTTGATGAATGCTAACAACTCCCTGTGTAACTCTCTGCTGTGTAACTAAATGCTCTGTTATCAACAGTGGGGGCGGGGGAACCCCTGCCTAAGCAGAGCATCCTGCCAGGGCCTGGCCATGCCCCCCCCAGCTCAGCATTGTGGAAGGGAAAGGAGGGCTGCTCTAGTGCCCCCCAGCTTCTAGCCTGAGCCACTGCAGGCATGTGCCGGTATTTCCTCAGTCCAGTGGGGGTGTCTGTAGAGTTACAAACCAGTTTAGCCTAGCCAGGTTAGACTAACCTGCAAAGTTTGAATCAATTCAGGCTCAGACTTTTTGAATGTCTGTCCCTAGCCAGTGTCACTTTAGCATAACTTTTGTCTTAGTTTGTCCTTCATGAGAAAAACTTACAAAGAAAATAGCACCTACTGAACTGGTGAGGCAAGAAGAAATGCTAGCCTGTAAATGCAGTTTCTTACTTGATTATCAATATTTTATCCAGAAGTAAGCCTTAGAGCATAAGCAAACCTTGAAGGCTAAAGAGAAATTTCAATGTCACTAGTTTGACCATATGAAAGTCCCAGAAGTCTGGGACACTTCTTGCAAGTTGGTGGGGGCAGGATGGTGTGCTGGGAAGGTAGCAGTGCCTGCCTGCCTGCTGGCCCACAGTCTGCAAGGCACACTGTGCTGCTCCAGCTCCTGGCCAGACTTTCCCGTGCCCCTGCATTTCTGAGACACCTATTATAATTCTCAATAGCTGGCCAGGACCAGACTCTGGAATCCAGGACTGTCCTCACTAAATCAGGATATATGGTCACCCTATATTTGACCTAGGGATAATCCCCAATGTAGATGCATATACATTTTTTCCCAGTGCTTTTTTATATGTAGAAAACAAGATTCTAACTTTAAGGAAAAGCAGTGGATTCATAAGCTAGACATTCAGATAATTACCATCACGTAATAAGCTTTTTTAAAATGATATCGAACAAATATTTGTAAACTTGTCAGAAAAAGACTGATTTTTCAGAGAAAACAAAATGACACAAAAGTTCCTTTCTAAAATATTTTGGAGCTTGAACTAATCACATTTTCTTTTTTTGAAGTACCTTTTTTTGGCTCTGTGCTGACTGTCAAACACACAAGATAAAGTTTGTCATTCAGGCAGTACCAGCATTTGAGTCAGTACACAATGACACAGTTATTTATCAAACTGAAATTGTTGCCATAGCTCCACTGTGGGACAGTGCAGGTTAAACAATAGCCTTGTTCATTCACTCTGGTCCAGCCTGACATTCAGTTCCAGCTCAACAGCAATGGATCTGTTTCCCAGAGCATAGCAAGTATACAACTGTTCTAGAGAAAAAGAGACTGTAGGATTTGGAAAAGAAAAGCTTCTTGGATCGTATTTGGATTTTCAGATGCTAAATTACTTTATCACCACAGATTGCTCTCAGCTGATCTTTAACCTCCCTTGGGACAGTCATACAAGAACAACTTGGCATGACCTTTGCTCAATTGTTTTAAATACAAGAAGTGGAAATATTATTATGTGGCCAGAGCAGTTCAAGGTCCTCTCAAGGAAAGTGTGAAAGCTGCAGGGATGTATTTGGTAGCAGTGTTGGTCTGAGACAGAAAGAAAAAGCTGCAGGAAGAAGTTTGTCAGAAGTACGTTAAACACAAAGATGGTAGGCCGTCAAAAACGCAGGACAGAAGAGGAAACTCAAGAGACGCAGACTGCCAAACATCAACGACAGGTGATAAAGATGTGTTTTTTCATGTGTTTTTTTGCCATCCATAATATTAATATATAGGTCATTAATGAAATGTATTATGAATGACCATTTCAGAGGTCTGAGTAGATATACATAGCATTATATAGTAACACATTCAACAAAGTACTGAAGTTATGGTATTGTAAGCCTGCCTTAAAGGAAGACAATGTAATATTTAATAAGACTAAAGATTTTTCCTCAGCACTTATCTTTATGTGTAATCATCATAATTCATCCTTTATCTGAATAAAAAATAATAAAAGCATTCTTTTAAGGCAAATATTTAAAATAATATTACCAAGCTGAGGTGTCATACATAAAGCTTATGCTTGTTATACATTTTAAAGTGAAGTTAGAAACCACTTCAAAATTCACAGGTATAAAATGTGGGTAGATCATAAATTTAGGCATTTTTTAGCAAATTTCACAGCAATACTTTGTTTAGAAATGCCTAATAGTTACTCTTCACCTTTACATGCTGTTTATCTTAGCGAATGTGTTTGCATGTATATTCCTGTAATTCTTTTGCTCTATATATTGGTCTGAATTCATTCTTGATGTAGCTCCATTAAATTCAGGATTTACACACCAGGTCTGAATGTAGCCCTTTGTAATCTGCCGGAGGAATGACTTATCAAAGTGAGTTACTCATCTGATAGCCCAATACGATATATTTTAACTATCTTAAATTGCCAAAATGAAATGACTTTTTGGAAGAATATGCCATTCAAATGAGAGTAGATTAAATAGATTTCTGATAAGATTCCTACATATACCAGCTATGAGAAGATCTACCTAGAATCTATAATCATCTCCAAATCTGTTCACGTGTACTTAGCCAACAGAAATGCTGAAAAGAAGCACATTACTTTTCTGTTCATTTCTGAATAGAAAATAAATACTATAAAATTCTAGTAAACATTTATTTCCAAACTACAGGAGCTACCTGTTTACCAGACTTGCTAACATCCTACTGTACTGACAGTAAGCCTTAGAGCCAGCAGATTCAAATTGTTTCTGAGGCAATAGGTTCTGGGACTGAAATCTTAAATTCAACAAGAGACTATGGCATCTTTAGCTATTTGTTGTAAGGCCTGGCTGCATATGTGACACAGAAGCGAAAAGAAAAAAAGAGTAGGTGCGTTAGCTGAGCCTCTAGACAGTAGGGGGTTTTTTTTGGTTTTTTATTTTTAATAAAAAGGGTGGGCTGAATTTTGATTATAGTTACATTAGGATGAATCCAAACAACTCCACTGAAATCAATTTAATTACACTAGATATACAACACCATAACAAAGATCAGAATCTAACCACCTGCCTGCTTACAATCATATTCTTATTCAAGCCTGAAAGAAAAGTAAAAATATTATAATGTAAATTAGATAGGGAAGAGAAGCCAGATCAAACTCACTGAGAATGAACTTTCACATAATTATAATGTCTAAGAATTAATTCTTGTGCCAATGGTTTTCAAAGCATATGATTATTGCCACAGCATGGAAGTCTCTGTTTTAAACACTTTCAGTGCTCTCACTTTACAATTTCACAAAAATGAACAATTAATGTATAAGCAGAACATTAATGCAGAAAAGCTGTTACAGTTCAAGCCCTGGCTGAAGATCAAATACACACCTGCTGGTGAATTAGAAGTAGTATGTACAAGCCCTGAGATAACGCACTAGTCTCTGTGTTTACTTGTTCAGGTCACTTCAGCAGACAAAAGGAAGTCATCATGATAAACCTATACATATTTCAAATGGTTAGTGGCTTACTAGTAATCCTGTAATTCACCTGTTTCCTAACACTGGATTTATGTAGGTGGACCTTTGCACCTGTTAGTCTATCAGGATTATTATAGGATTTAATTATTATGTTATTATTATAAGGCCTAATTTATTTAAAAATGCCAGACCGCTGTCACCGTTTATGTATCCTTATTTCTAGATTTCACTATGTTTGGACAGTGCAATGACACAAGCTCAGTTTCAATCCTATTGATGACAGTCATTTAAATTCTCCATTTAATAAGGTAACTTGCCTGTTGCTTCAGCAGCAAAGTCACATCTCCTGGCCGCTGACTGGACCCCACCGTGTTGCCCCCTTTGGTTTCTCTGGCTGGGTTTTTCCACCTGAGGTCCATTAAGCCAGGACCCTAGATTTCACAGCTCCAACTCGCCCCTCGCAGGCCCCTCAGCCCCTGGTCTTGTCCCTTGCAGGCTCTGGGCCCCTTGGGCCCTAGTCTCGTCCCTTGTGGGCACTGGGCTCATTCACCAATCCAGTCTTTCCTGTCTGGTATCACAGTCCACCAACAAACAGCAGCCCTCCTTCTGAAGTGCTTGGGCTTTTGCCCCCATGCAGCCCACTAATTCCCAGACCCTGGAAGGGTCCGTGCTTGGTGTCCCTGCAGCACCCCTGTGGCCACCACAGTCAGCCATATCTGGTCCTCTGGTATTTAAATACAGTGAAAAGCATAAGCATCTACTCCAAAAAAAGGCTCCCTACCCAGGGTTAATCCTATACCACAGTAGCATTGCAACACAGGCTCAAAACTCTTATCTACTGCTGTCCAGTGGTGCAGGGGCTTCCCTCCAGCTTCCTGGCAGTCTGGAGTCCTTTCTCCTCAGGTAGCCCAGCCATCTGCTCTCTTGAGCTCATCTTCCTGAAGCTTTTAAGGCCAGACTGTCTCTCCCTAGCTCAGGACCTAGGCTTACGTGCCTCCTCTCTGGGCCACCTGACCCTCTACTTCCACTCCAGGCCCGCACCAAGGGGCACACAGCCATTTTTATTCAAGGGCCCTCTGCCATTATCCGTCTGTCTAGGAGGCTGCGGCTGGCCAGCTGACCCTTGGCTCCCCCTCCCCTTCAGTAATGGAGCAGGGGCCCTGTTATACTCATATTCATTAGTATTATAAGCAACCATATAAAAATTCAGCCCAGTGGAAACGGATTATTTTTTAAAAACCATCCCCCAGCACTCAAACTGGAATGGAAAAGTGATGAATACACCATTTCCACTTCCTAGCTGTGCTCCTTCAACCTTACTTCCCCCAGCTTTCCAACTTATCCCATAACTCCATCTTTTCAGTTGTCTGTCTGCTCTCCTTCCTATCAAGACTATGGTTTGTTTTATCTTAGTGGTGTCATCCTCTTCCTGGAGCAAACTTCCCACAGTGGTTGTTCTCCAAGGTAGCCTAGAAGGAGATTTTTTTTGTTTCTTCCTAGTTTCTTCAGGCTCTTTCCTGGTGCTTAGAATAGGACTTGCTATATAGTCTAATCAATGACCTTACTCCTCTGATTATTCCAAAGGTGCAGTACCTACCATCTCTTGTCAAACACAATCATATCTACATTGTGCTTGTGCGTGAGAGCTAAAATGAGGGTAGTGTAGTTTCAGTGCATATTATGGGTTCAATGGAAAGCATAAATATAAAAATAAGTGTAGAGCATTTGTGAGTTTGTAGTGTGTATGCTTAGATAAGGCTAGAAGAGCTTTACTAAAATTACGTGGTGAAAGGATTACTTTAAACTGCTCAAAGCATAGTGTTGAAGAAGACTTTATATTAAACTAAAAGGTTGGTTCTTAGATTAAACAATTTTGAGCTGGAAATGCATAAAGTTCCTCTCTCATCTTCCACAGCCTTTTTTCTAATAAAACACTAGAAGGGAGTAATAAATGGACTACTAGATTCATAGTTTTTATACCTGTTTTTAATAATAGCAGTTACTACAGTCCTAATGCCAATTCACCTTCTGATTCCTAAGAACTTGAACTATACATGGATTTGAGAAAAATATTAGTGGATGCTAAAAGGAGGGAAGAAAGGACTTTGGTCTTTTCAGATCATGGAAAAAGTCAAAGTTGGAACTACAGTAAAGAAAAACTGAAGGGGGTAAAAGAATACAGCTAAATAAACAAATTGTACAAATTCAGCAAAAAAAAAAACTATGTTAAAAGAACACTGTCACAATTGTAGAATCAAACATCCAGAAATTAGAATCAAGATTGACTATACAATCTTTTTTCACCTTCTCCGGTATATGTATTACGGTAAAGTTTTTACCTACCTGACAATATACCATATCTTCTCACATTCAACATGCACTTTTCCCCCCAAAATCAGCCCCCACAGAATTGGAGTGCATGTATAAAACAGGGAACCTGTATTTCATTGGAGAAGCAGCTTTGTGCATGCCAGGCAGCTGCCAAGATAGCTAACATTTGTCTGACTCAGCAAGCTGAAGAGATGGCGTCCCGTGTTAACCTTCTCACAGATATAGCTATTGGTTGGAAGCAGCGTGTGAGCTGTTGGTAATATCTTGACGAATCTTGTGACATGGAAACAATACTTTCTTTACAGGAACTTATATAAAGAACAACTTACAGTAAAGAACTAAGAGTCCTGCTACCTGCCTTATAAGGGTCTGGAGCTTAACCTTGTATGACATATAGAGACTCACCCAGCCTTTCTCCTAGGATGCCACACTTCCTGGACACGCTCTGTTCCCAGGGTACTGATTCCACGTCACAAAGTCAGCCACCTAGAAACATATCCTCCTCTTTCCCTCCCCCACCCCCCATTCTGCCTTCCAAAAAATAAGGAGCAAGTTTTATGTGGGGGTGTGCTGTATGCAAAGAAATATGGTGCTATTTTCCCATGGCACCCCTCTCTCCATCTATGCACCAACTGGAGGGTGAAACTATTCAATCTTATGCTTTTATCAATATTACATAACCTAGGCCTTATTTACTGCACACCATTCAAACCCTGCTCTCAGAACTATTTTCCTATGTGTTTTTTTTTTCAATAATTGCTCCCATGACTATAGTATCTGAGAGCTTTAAAATGCTGTTTTCACAGCATATCTAAGGGGAGGAGTTGGGATTATCCCCGTAGTACTGAAGAGGAATTGGAGCAGAGAGAGACTGAAATAAAAGTTTACCACTAATTTTAGGTGCCCAGTTAGAGATGTCTAAGACTTGAT